CTCTCTCTCTCTCTGTATCTCCCTGCTGGTCGCTGTGTGGATGTTTCTCCTCGGTGTTCCTCTTGAGGTGTTTCTTTATTGTTTGATGCCTCCACGTTCAGAATCGACGTGAATCCACGCGTTCAGAGTGGTCGGCTGCTGCTTCGATAGCCCACGTGGCGATGATGATGCTGACGGTGATGAGCAACTTTGATTGGTTGAGCCGCTATCATCTGTGATGTCACAGGTGTGTCGCTTATCTGATCAAAGTAGCCACACAGCAGCAGCAGCAGCAGCTGAGTAGTGGGGCCCTACCTGGTCAGATAACAATCAGTTCGTTTAATATACGGGTCTACGTGGGTCTCTGTGTGTCTACATGGGTCTCTGTGTGTCTTTATGGGTCTCTGTGTGTCTCTATGGGTCTCTGTGTGTCTCTATGGGTCTCTGTGTGTCTCTATGTGTCTCTCTGTATCTCTATGGGTCTCTGTGTGTCTCAATGGGTCTCCGTGTATCTCTATGGGTCTCTCTGTATCTCTATGGGTCTCTGTGTGTCTCAATGCGTCTCAATGGGTCTCTGTGTATCTCTATGGGTCTCTGTGTGTCTCTATGGGACTCTGTGTATCTCTATGGGTCTCTGTGTATCTCTATGGGTCTCTGTGTGTCTCTATGGGTCTCTACGGGTCTCTGTGTATCTCTATGGGTCTCTCTGTGTCTCTATGGGTCTCTGTGTCTCTATGGGTCTCTGTATATCTCTGTGTGTCTCTGTGTATCTCTATGGGTCTCTGTGTGTCTCTATGGGTCTCTGTGTGTCTCTATGTGTCTCTGTGTGTCTCTATGGGCCTCTGTGTATCTCTATGGGTCTCTGTGTGTCTCTATCGGTCTCTCTGTCTCTCTATGGGTCTCTACGGGTCTCTGTGTATCTCTATGGGTCTCTGTGTATCTCTATAGGTCTCTGTGTATCTCTATGGGTCTGTGTATCTCTATGGGTCTCTGTGTATCTCTATGGGTCTCTCTGTGTCTCTATGGGTTTCTGTGTATCTCTGTGGGTCTCAGTGTATCTCTATGGGTCTCTGTGTATCTCTATGGGTCTCTGTGTGTCTCTATGGGTCTCTGTGTATCTCTACGGGTCTCTGTGTGTCTCTATGAGTCTCTATGTATCTCTGTGGGTCTCTGTGTGTCTCTGTGGTCTCTGTGCATCTCTGTGGGTCTCTGTGTGTCTCTATGGGTCTCTGTGTATCTCGATGGGTCTCTGTGTGTCTCTATGGGTCTCTGTGTGTCTATGTGTGTCTCTATGGGTCTTTGTGTATCTCTATGGGTCTCTGTGTATCTCTATGGGTCTCTATGTGTCTTTATGGGTCTCTCTGTATCTCTATGGGTCTCTGTGTATCTCTATGGGTAGTGTATCTCTATGGGTCTCTGTGTATCTCTATGGGTCTCTATGTGTCTTTATGGGTCTCTCTGTATCTCTATGGGTCTCTGTGTATCTCTGTGGGTCTCTGTGTATCTCTATGGGTCTGTGTGTATCTCTCTGGGTCTCCATGAGTTTCTCCCTGTCTCCACGGTGTCCCCCTGTGTCTCTCTGTGTCTCCACGGTGTCCCCCTGTGTCTCTCCGTGTCTCCACGGTGTCTCCCTGTGTCTCCGTGTCTCAGCTGGCGGACGTGACAGACACGGCGGGAGGGAACAAGGACGACCTGAGACAGGCCAGGCAGGACGTGTCCCCCTGTGTCTCCCTGTGTCTCCACGGTGTCCCCCTGTGTCTCCCTGTGTCTCCATGTCTCCACGGTGTCTCCCTGTGTCTCCGTGTCTCAGCTGGCGGACGTGACAGACACGGCAGGACGGAACAAGGACGACCTGAGACAGGCCAGGCAGGAAGTCTGCGAACAGCGCCGACAGATTCAGAGCTACACCATGGAGGTGGACTCACTCAAGAGCGCTGTGAGAACCACCAGCAGCAGCAGCTGCAGCATCACCAGCATCACCACTACCACCATCACCACTACCACCATCACCAGCATCAACACTACCACCACTACCACTACCAGCACTACCACTACCAGGACTACCACTACCACCAGCAGCATCACCAGCATCACCACTACCACCACTACCACTACCAGCATCACCAGCATCACCACTACCACCACTACCACCACTACCACTACCAGCATCACCACTACCACCACTACCACCACTACCAGCATCACCACCACTACCACTACCACCACTACCACTACCAGCACTACCACCACCACCACTACCACCACCAGCATCACCAGCATCACCAGCACTAGCACTACCACTACCAGCATCACCACTACCACCACAACCACCACTACCACCACTACCAGCACTACCACTATCACCACTACCACCACCACCACTACCACCACCAGCATCACCAGCATCACCACTACCACCACTACCACTACCAGCACTACCACTATCACCACTACCACCACCACCACCACTACCACCACCAGCATCACCAGCATCACCACTACCACCACTACCACTACCAGCACTACCACTACCAGGACTACCACTACCACCACTACCACCAGCAGCATCACCAGCATCACCACTACCACCACTACCACTACCAGCATCACCAGCATCACCAGCATCACCACTACCACTACCAGCATCACCAGCATCACCACTACCACCACTACCACCACTACCACTACCAGCACTACCACCACTACCACTACCAGCATCACCAGCATCACCACCACTACCACTACCACCATCACCAGCATCAACACTACCACCACTACCACCACTACCACTACCAGCACTACCACTACCACCACTACCACTACCAGCATCACCAGCATCACCACCACTACCACCATCACCAGCATCACCACCACTACCACTACCACCGTCACCAGCATCACCACTACCACCACTACCACTACCAACATCACCAGCATCACCACCACTACCACTATCACCAGCATCACCACTACCACCACTACCAGCATCACCAGCATCACCACTACCACTACCACCACCACCACTACCACCACCACTACCACCACAAAAAAACCACAGGCATCACGACCACCACCAATACCACCACCACTACCACCACAGGAACAACCACCAGCATCACCACCACTACCACCACTACCACCACAAGAACCAGCATCACCACCACCACCACTACCACCACCACCACAACTACTACCACTACCACCACCACTACTACCACCAGCATCACCACTACCACCACTGCCACCACTACCACCACCACTACCACTACCACCACAAGAACCACCACCAGCATCACCACCACTAGCACCACCACTACCACTACCACCACAAGAACCACCACCAGCATCACCACCACTACCACTACAACCACCAAAACTACAACCACTACCACCACCACTACCACCACTACCATCACCAGCATCACCACCACCACCACTACCACCACCACTACCACCACAAGAACCACCACCAGCATCACCACCACCACCACCACCACTACCACCACTACTACCACTACCACCTTAATAACCACCACCACCACCGCCACCACCGCCACCACCTCAACAGCCACCACCACCACCACCATCTCAACAGCCACCACCACCACTACCACCACCACCACCACAAGAACCACAACCACCTCAACAATCACCACCACAGCCACCACCACAAGAACCACCACCACCTCAACAATCACCACCACAGCCACCACCACAAGAACCACCACCACCTCAATAACCAACACCACCATCGCCACTGCCACCACCACCACCTCAACAGCAACCACCACCACCTCAACAGCCACCACCACCACAACCACCACCACCACCACCACCTCAATCACCACCACCGTGTCGTGAACCCCCCAGAACGAGTCGCTGCTGAAGCAGATGCGAGAGATGGAGGACCGCTTCTCAGCCGAAGCATCCGGCTACCAGGAGGCCATCAGCTCGCTGGAGGAGGACATCCGCCGCCTCAAGGACGAGATGGCGAGGCACCTTCGACAATACCAGGAGCTGCTGAACATCAAGATGGCCCTGGACGTCGAGATAGCCACCTATCGCAAGCTGCTGGAAGGGGAGGAGAGCCGGTAGGTTGGTGGTGGTGGTGGTGGTGGAGGTGGTGGAGGTGGTGGTGCTGGTGGTGGAGGTGGTGGTGGTGGATGTGGTGGTGGTTGTGGTGGTGGTGATGGTATAGATGGAGGTGGAGTTGGTGATGGATGTGGTGGTGTTGGAGGTGGTGGTGGTGTTGGTGGTGGAGGTAGTGTTGGAGGTTGTGGTGGTGGTGGTTGGGGTGATGGATGTGGTGGTGGTGGTTGGGGTGATGGATGTGGTGGTGGTTGAAGTGGTGATGGATGTGGTGGTGGTGGATGTGGTGGTGGTGGAGATGGTCAGGCACCTTCGACAATACCAGGAGCTGCTGAACATCAAGATGGCCCTGGACGTCGAGATAGCCACCTACCGCAAGCTGCTGGAAGGGGAGGAGAGCCGGTAGGTTGGTGGTGGTGGTGGTGGAGGTGGTGGTGGTGATGGTGTAGATGGAGGTGGTGGTGGTGGATGTGGAGGTGGTGATGGATGTGGTGGTGTTGGAGGTGGTGGTGGAGGTGGTGGTGATGGTGGAGATGGAGGTGGCGTTTGAAGTGGTGATGGATGTGGTGGGGGTGATGGTGGAGATGGATGTGGTGGTTGTGGTGGTGATGGTGGTGATGGTGGAGATGGACGAGGTGGTGGTTGAAGTGGTGATGGATGTGGTGGGGGTGATGGTGGAGATGGATGTGGTGGTGGTGGATGTGGTGGAGGTGCACATGGAGGTGGTGGTTGAAGTAGTGATGGATGTGGTGGTGGTGGAGATGGATGTGGTGGTGGTGGTGGATGTGGTGATGGTGGTGATGGATGTGGTGGTGGTGCTGGCGATGGATGTGGTGGTGGTGGTTGTGGTGGTGGTGATGGTGGAGATGGATGTGGTGGTGGTGGTGGTGGTGGAGGTTGTGTTGGTGGTGGTGGTGGTGTTGGTGGTGGTT